TGCAATTAAGAACATGCCTGCACCCGACACAGTTCTTGAAACTACAATTGTTTCTGGGGTTGGCACAATATTATGCAATCTACATACCTAAAATGTATGATTTAAGAGCCCCCCTTAAGGAATTGTTGAAAAAAAAGACAAGAAATGGTTTTGGTCAAAAGATTGCGAGATGGCTTTTCAGAAAAAAAAAAAAATGCCTACTCTCAGATCTCGCCTTAGCACATTATGATCCTGAGAAAGAGATCATTCTGGCAACTGGACGAAGTTTATGCGGAGGGCGCTGCACTGCTACACAAATATGAAGATGGCACTACTAAACCGATCAAGACGCTGTCGAGGACTCTTCTTCCGCTGAAAAAAAAATTATAGCCAGATCGAGAAAGAGGCTTTGTCAATTGTGTTCGGGGTTAAAAAATACCATCGCTTTTTACATGGTAGATCATTTGTACTTCAAACGGACCATAAACCGTTACTTACAATATTTGGGGGGTAAAAAAGGCATTCCTTTAAAAGATACAGCTAATCGCCACAGCGATGGGGTGTAACCCTGCTTAATTACCATTTTAGGATGGAATACGCCAAATTTAAAGAACATGGGCATGGGATGGATTGTCAAGGCTGATTCCAAAAAATGAAGAAATTTTAGAAGAGATGGTTTTACAGCAGCATTAACTGAGGAAAAAGAAATATCAGGTCTCTTGTTGAATACAATCAGGGAATTGCCAGTAACTTTGGACCAAATAAAAAAGAAGCGGAAAAAAGATCACTATATTGTGAAATTAAGGAACCAGACGAGATGGAACAAAAAAGACAGAAAAAGGGAACTCAGATTTCACCTTTTTCAATTTATGGTAACATGTTGATGTACGCAGATAGAATTGTTATACCTCAATCTCTACGACAGATATGCTGAAAGAATTTCATACCGGTCATCCTGGAATGTCTCGATGAAATCACTCATGTGGTTACGATACTGGCCAGGAATGGACAAGGATATTGAAGGTAGAGGTTGTCAATTAGCTGCAAGGGCACCTCCGGTCAAAATGAATCCTTGGCGAAAACGGATTTGCCGTGGGCACGTCTACATATAGACTATGCTGGACCAATTAATGGGTACTATTATTTGATATTGGTGGACTCTTTATCGAAATGGCCTGAGGTAGTCAAGTGCAAGCATCCTACATCTAGGAACACCATCAGTGCATTGGATGAAATTTTCAGTCGTTTTTTAAAATTCCCAGGACATTGGTTAGCGACAATGGTACGAAGCGTTCAAAGTATGGAGTTTAAGGATTTCTGTACTGCCTTAGACATTGAACACATAACTACACCAGTGTGTCATCCCAGGTCGAACGGTCAAGCCGAGAAATTTGTTGACACGTTTAAACGTGCTTTACGTAAAAATAAAGGTATGGACACGGAAGAAAGAACTATTCAGAAGTTCTTAGCAATCTATAGGGTAACTCCTAATGAGAACAACGATGCGAAAATGTCACCGGCGGAAATTATGTTCGCAAGGAAAATTAGATCAATTTTCGATAGATTGTTACCCTATCAAAACAAAAAAGTTGCTAAGAAAGAGGAAAAAGTCACCATAAAAAATACACTTCAGGAGACAAAGTTTTTTTAGAAATTTTAAAAGTGGAAAAAGCTATTGGATGGATGGCATAAACCAGAAAAGGATTGGTAAAGTGGTCTACATGATTAAAAGTAAAAAATTTACGTGTAAAAGACACATCAATCAGATTAGACCACGATATGGTGAAGAAAGTGAAAAAAGCGAAGAAGAAATTCCGATGGAAGTGTTATGCGATGCTTTTAACATGACACTACCCAATAGTGTATTTGAACCTGTATCACATGGACCAGCCTTACGGGCTGAAAAGCGGAAATTATCTTCGCCAAAAAAGGATCTAATTGTGACGACTAAAAGAAGGAGCACATGGGAAAGAAAACCAGTGGAGCATTTTAGCCCGGATCCAAAAAGACGACGACATTAGAAGCAGAAATTTTCAAAAGGGAGAATTTCAGCTTTGGGGGGAGGTGTTGTGATGATATAACCCAACTTCCCCATTCACGATAATGGACGGACTGGTTGCCGATTAAGTACGACCAGAGCGGACAGTCAAAAAAGTCTTCGTTTGTTAACACCTATTGAGGTTAGCATACTCCCGACTGTCTCTGTACTTGACACACCTACATCCAATTATAAACCTATTATTGAAAACCAACACTCGGGTTACTTTGTTTATTATATCTTGCACGAGATATAACAGTATAGAAAAATTGGAAAAGGAAAGAATTGATGACTTTTTTTTTTTTTCAATACAAAGACCTGAGGAAAAGAATTCTTTTGAAAAAATTAAAATCAATGGCATCACGTCTTCAATACAAGTGGATATGGGGAGTGAAGTCACTCTGATCCCAATAAATTCCTGGGAACAAATGGCTAAACCGAAATGGAAAAAAAGTAATTAGAAATTAAGACAATTTGATGAATCATTCATAAAAACTTTGGGATACTTCAATGGAATGACTGAAACCTGTGTCTGATTTGAAGTTATTACCATTACAATAGTAGAATATAAAAAAAAAAAATCCAACAATAGAACCATTTGTTGAACTGCGAAAGAAGAAAAGAGTTCAAATGGACTCAAAGGCAAAACTTAGCATTCAAGGATTTAAAAGAGATACTTGCAGAAAAACCCATTGTAAAAATCTTTGCTCTCAAAAAGAAGGTTATGTTAACTATGGATGTGATTGAGTGAGCTGTGTCAGCAATTTTATCACAAGGCGGCCATCCAATAATGCATCTTTCAAGAAGATTGACAGCAGCAGAAATAAATTATACAAATATTGAAAAAGAGGCAGTGGCCATTGCCAGGAGCACAAACAGAATTTGAAAGTTTTTATTAGGTAAGAAGTTCCTTTTAAAGTCAGACCATAAACTGCTAGAGTTTATTTTTAACCCTAGAAAAGAGCTACTAAAAGTTATTTCTTCCAGGATTCTAAGATGGGCCATAAAATTATTGGCTTATGATATTGACAATGAGTATGTAAAAAGAAATATAATAGCAAGTCGATGTACTATCAAGGTTACAATTTAATAAAGATCAAAAAGAATAAATGGAAACCGAGTTGAAACTGACATTGGAAACTCTACAAGATCCAATATTAAACAATATTGTTGAAATAATAAGAAACAGGCTGAGTAATTGTTCAAAAGCTGAAATACCTTATAAAGAAATAAGGCAGAAATTAATGATGTTAATATGCAATGGAGATGTGATAATACCACCAGAAACTAATACAAAGAGATATTTTAAAAAGTGTACATAATGATATGCATTGTGGGATAATGGCTTCATAGAAGCGATTTAAATTGGCATGTTGGCCAGGATATTATTATAATGTAGAAATATATATATACATAAATACCTTAAATGTGCATAAATAAAGAATTTTCAACAAAGAAGAATACACTCACAGCCTAAAGAAATGGAACTGTGGTCTCATGTTCATATGGGCCATGCACACATTAATGGGATAGGACTATTTCAAATTATAGTAGACTCCTTTTCTGGATGGCATGAAGTCATTAAAGTTAAAGATAGAAAGACGACTGTAGTAAAACAAATTCTAAGTGGTATTAGTATCAAACAACACACCAGAATTTTGTGATAAAGATTTAAGTAATTGGTTGAGGCAGATCGGTGCAGACAGTAAAAATGGGATTAAAAGCATTTTCTCCAAGTAGAGATACTATAGATGATTACCTACCAAGGTTACTGCTTAGTTATAGGATGATTCCACATGCAGACAGATTGTAAAGCCCATCTGTGTTAAGAGGTAGACAAATAAAATCCCCATTAACAATGTCTTATTTGACAAATGACAGGATGTGATATAAGAAAGAAAAAGTAGCAAGTCCTGAGAGAGCTAATTTCATCATGCAGGTGGGACATAACATGGCCATTATATCAAAGAAAAGAAAAAGCCTAGTGCATCATTCTGACCAATTAAAACCCAGAATTGGAGAGGAAGAAGTCAGAGAAGAAAGGATGAGTTTTTCAGATTAGGATAATGCAATAGAAGACAAGCCTATGGATGATAGTATGAGTGACTCAGACATGAAAGAAGATGAAATGAGATCAAGATCTCCATTAAAAAGAATACAACAAACCTCAAGGGGAAGAGAGGGAAAGAAATTGTTGAAGAAATTTGAGAATAACCAAATGCTTCAATTCAGTTCAGGGAGGTGTAGTGGATTGGTAAATAGGATTGTCTATTTGCATATGTAACTTCAAAATATGGCATCATATTTTAATTATTAAATTTATAACAAGCCACATGGTAATATGTTTATTTTCTAAATGTAGAAGAAAATTCTCTTCTCAATATAAAAAAAAAAATGATGAAATATTAAGAATATATATCAGTGCAATCAAAGTATGTGTTCAAACATGGTTTCAGGCCTCAGCATCATTTTACCATTAATCCAGGATGTCCAATAAGTTTTTTGTGATACCACCAGGCTTTGTTTGCACTGTCACATTGCAATAGTTATTAGGGGGCAAGCAAATACAGTTTCTCTTCCAACTTTGAAGTCAATCTCTTTTGATATTAAACAAATCAGTCAGATATATCCATGTTGGTGGAAATGACACCTTGGCATCATATTACAACAGGATGATAAGTGTTTGTCATAAAGACAATATTCCTTCCCTAATGAGCCATTATAGCAGAATGAGCCATTATATATTTATTGTTTCTTTGTTTAAAAATATAAACTATCACTTTCATCAAAAGTAAAATTTCAATAAAATCATTTTTCTTATTGAAGCATTTTATTTTTCTTAATTGTGAATATAAAAATAGGAATCAATAATGTGTTATAATAATGTAATATAATAATGTAACGTAATGTAATATAATAATGTAACATAATGTAATAACTTATTTTCATGATAATCAGTGGTTGGTGGAGAGAGATAACTTACCAAACATTTTTTTCAGTGCCATGATATCTTTTTGCTAAGCTGTGTTTTGTTGACATTTTTCTAATTTGTGATCCTAGAAATAAAGAAAAGACATAAAAAAATAGGAATTAGGTTTATGAATATTTGAAAAAGAAAAATATGAAGTAGGCTAACCTTAACCAAAATGAATAAAATCATTAAAACCACATTTTTATGTAGAATTAGCGAAGTCATTTTAAAATTTGTTTTTATGTCTAGTCTGTCTGAAGTTATTATGCAAATCACATAAACCTCAAGAATTGAAATTTGCTTTGAAAAATTGTCAAATTTTAAATGATTCATTTAGACGTTAAAACAAAGCTGGAGTTAAATCTTTGGATAGTTTCAGCATGTTTTGTTAAAGTTATTGGATTTATTCTAAAAACTGCAGTCTTAAATTATTATGCAAAACCAGAAAATCACTTTTTTTACTTCAATAACAAGGTAGTAAAATCACTAACAGTTAACGCCTATAATAGAACAAATAACAAACATGTACGATAAGCCTTTGAAGCATATACACTTTAATATCATGACCCTTCCTCTCAATAACAGCCAGCAATCACTGATTTTGTTAATTTTCTTTTTTCTCTCAACAGGTGGTTTTAATTGTTTCACATGAATCTGCTTTCCTGTCATATTATTTGCCACCTTCATAATTGACCATTTTTGATCAGATTCAGATTGTGACTTGATGGTGGCCATTTCATTTTCTTCTTTCCTCTAAAAAAAAATTCACGGGTAACCTTAGATTCATGAGAAGGAGGATTTTTGTGCATAAAAACACACTTTACTTTGAAACTGTGAAAATGGAACTTGCAACATTCAAAGACAACCTTGTCCATGAAATTGCAATAGCTAGTACTGTTCAGTTTAAATCCTACATTCACTTTGAATGATCCAATAATGGTTTGGTCAACAACTCCAGCCCATACCATCACACAGCCAACTCCATTTAGCTACAGGAACATCTACATTGGATAAAATCCATCCTTTTGCCTATCTTTCAGGATCATTGAATGTCACCCGAGATTTGTCTGTGAAAATTACTTTAGAAAAGTTAATTTACATGTATTTCTTTGTCCAATTTTGACACTTTAAAATATTTGCTTTACTGAGAGGAGTTTGCCTAGATTTCTTGACAAATCTCAATTTTCAAAGTATTCTACAACTTTTGTCCTTCTTGACTCCCTCAGTTCCAGCCTGTTCAAAGATCTTAGTACTATTCAAAAATGGTTGTTTCACTATAATTTTTCTTTTGTTTCTAGTTCTCAATTTATATTTTCAACAGCACTCTTTACTATGTGATGATCTCTATGAAGCACCCTTCGATATCTCCAATGTGGGCATTCCCTCATTCAATAATTTAATGTCAACTCAACTGTAAATTGAGTTCTTGTTGCTAATCTAGTACTGCACTTAGATTCATAAAGTCTAGGTATCATAGCAAAGAGCTCCTCTGCACACTTACCATGAAAGTATTTATAGAAAAAGCACAAACATGTAAAAGGTAAAACTCACTACTGCCCAATTTAATTGATGAGATTGATGGACGCTGACAAAAGAAAAATTTAAACTTTAAAAATCTATTGTTTCAGATATTTAAAAAAAATAGTAAATTTAAGTCAAGGGAATTTGTTCAGAATTCTATTTTTTATCAGCTGTAAAAAAAAAACAAAACAAAAAAAAACAGTCATAAAATAAAATAAAATGTTCTCACACTATAAAATGGTTTCAAACTTTACATTTTTTTGAATCTTCAAACACCTCTTTATATCAACTTTATAAGCAACAACAAAGATCTGAAAGTTAAAATTGTATTGTAAAAATAAAATGTATATAATTTTTTTTTTTACAAATAAATATTCAGGGATTTTTTTTCCCCATGGAAACAAAAAAAAATATTTGCAACTCTCCAAAGAAAAAAAAAAGAAAAATTGAGTTTTCTTGAATATTTTGACAATTTCAGACAATATTTTTGAGGTGTTCACACTCAATGAAAATAAGGTCTCACCCTTTTACTGTTGAAACAAATGTAACTGCCTCTTCTGCTCCAACAGCTTCTTCTTTTGCACTTCCCAACAGTGGAACTACCTTCTTTTTACTTGCTTCTCTGATAACTACAATCTTCAAAAATTTAAATGTAACAATAACATCAATCGTCATCTTCTGATGTCTTGATCTCGATTCTTCTTTTTATTTTTTTCTCAATCTCCCCCCACCCCCCATACCCAATCTTTTATCTTCACCCCCTGTAACCCCTTGCACTCCAGCCTTGCTTGGGGTGAAATGCTTAAATAAATAAAACGATTCAATGACGTTCATTCATTATAATTTCAACGACATGCTATAATTCCCTGTTCTTTGGTAATCTTATTTTTTTTAAAAAAGTGTGTATATTGTTTTTCTTTTTCACGTTACGATATTGCGTATGATTTTGGAAGTACCCAGTGGAGTTTTAAAGGGTGAATATTTTTTTTATTCTCTTAAAAAATGCAAATTCACGTTCAAGCTCATAAATTTCACCCACTCCGTTTTGGTTCTTTAAATGTTTAACGTTAATTTATCAGCCAAGCTGATAAAAAGAGAAACAAGGTCTTTTAATCAAAATTTACAATGTTCTAAAAAAGAAGGAAAAATTTCAAAAAATAAGTAAAAAATACTTTGATCTTTCCTCTAAAAAGTAACATAAGCATTTAGACGCGAAAATTTTGTTTTTCATCAACTTTGGCGTCTTTTTAATCATGCTATGCTCTTTTTTTAGCGATCCAACAGAGTACCCTATTTAAACAATTTTTGAAAAAATTTAAAATCCATAAAAAAAAAATAACTTTAATTTGTCAAAAATAAAATCAATGCTTTGGAAAATTATTTTAAATATAATTTCAGTTATTTATTTAGAATGATTTTCTGGGAACAGTCAAATTAATTTATATAGTTTTTTTAAACTAAAGTTTTTAGTTCTTTGCCGGTTTGTAGGATCGGTCCAAACTTTGTGTTAGTTTATGAGTACACGCACACTCACATTTAAAAGACAAATGTTTTGTTGGCATTACGAAAATAGAATCAAAATCTAACTTCAGAGACAACCTTCAGAAGATGAAAGAAAAAGCATATATTTTACAGAGATTACAACCGATTACAAACAAAAAAAAAAAAAAAAAAACGATTCTACTAACCTAAACGTCAACGTTGCCTTTTTACTTTCGAATGCTGTTTGCTGTTTACGGTGTCGAGTGAAAAAAATCCACTTTTATTGAATTGAATTTTTAAATAATCTCAGTTTTTTTTAATCATTGGTAGTTAATTTTTAAAAAAATAAAATCCTCAAAAATGTTATTTATTAATGAAAGGGTGTTTTGTTCATGAATGATAGAAGCAGACACTTTTCTTATTTCAACAAGACATGAAAGTGAAGCATAATTATTTAGAACCCATCGTACGGCTTACGATCGTACGAACCTTTGGGTTTTATTTTTAACGGTTTGTACTACTAATAAATTATTAATAAATATTTTACATACTTTTAGTTAGTCTGTAGAAGAGAAAAGAATCAGATGATAGACCATATAGCTGCAATCTTTTAATTATTTTCTTTTTCGCAATATTGACAAAAAATGCAAACATTACGCAAAAGGCAAAACAAAAAAAACTGTACCTCGATTTTAAGCAAAAACTAACAAACAAAATAAGTGAAAGCGTAAAAAATAAAATAAAATGAAACAAATCAACTTCGTTACTGATTCCAATGTTTGACCTAAAAATTTATTTTACGGTAAAAGTTTGGCTCATTACGCTATAATTTTCATTTTTTTATCGTTACGATGAGCCAAAAATTTGAATATAAATATTCCTTAATCGGCATGTCCACCACTTTGAAAATGATTTTTGAAGCTACAAGAAAACAATTTCGGGTTTAGCCTTGAGCAATTCTGTTTTGCTTTTTTTGTGTCTGCTGTATGTGAAAAAGAAAGCCAAAAAAAAAAAAAAATGAATAAAGAAGAGAAGACGATTATAAAAAAATAGACTGACTGAAAAATAAAAAAAAATGAACTTGGTTCGGGTAAATTTACCTGTTAAGAAGAGCTTCGTTGAGGATTTTAGTTTCAACATGCGTAGTAGGTGTAAAGTCGCAAGTATCTTCATTTTAAGAATAAACTTGCCTTAATTAATTTAATTATTTTATCAGTTCAGCAAATTGCCATGTAAAGTGGAACTCCAAGTCTGACACGGAAAGAAGGATTATTCATTAAATTCGCCGGAAAAAAAAAAGTAAAAACTATTCACGAGTCAATGTTTTTTTTACTTTAAGCTTCAGCTTTCAGTTAGTTTTGTTTTCTCGGAAAAAATATTAAGAAAGATTTTTGGAGGACGTATTCCTTGATAATAATTCCCCCTGCCTTAACAATCGAAGACCTTGGTGCGCCTTTCGTAAAAAGGTCATCAATTTACATTACAATCTTTACTTAGACTTGTGTAGTGTAGTGTACTGTAGAGTAAATTTTTTTCTTCTTATAATTATTATACTAATTAGCTAATAAGTTAATAGAATTGAATTCTTGGTTTTACTTAGTATTGATTGAGTTTCCTCTCTACATGATTGATCATTCATCAGTGAATAATTTATTTTATAAATAACTTGTTTTAATGAGGTTTAACCCCTCCCTAGTATTTAAAAAAAATTTTTTTTAATTTTTTTACTCGACTAAGAGGAGAATGTTTTTTTCTTGATATGAAAAATATAAATAAAATAATTTACTTGCCTTCATGCTTTACGACAAATTTTGTAACGTTGAACTTGAATATATTGAGTATTGACATTTTTTTACTCATTGCTGTGTGATGAATCGAGAAAAATAAAGTAAACTGAAACAAGTTCTTGCCAGACTTAAATTCGCTGAAGCGATTATTATTATTATTATTATTATTTTATTAACAATACCAGTGAAGTGAAAAGGAAAACGAAATTCGAAATGTTCAATAATTCGTTAAAAAAAGAGAAAATGAAAAAAGGCCCCAAATTTGATAAACAGTTTTTTTTATCGTCTATTATTAAGAGGAAAAACTAAAGTATTTTTTTGATTTTAGTTAAAATAAAAATCTTGGGGTTTTTTTTTTGAGTCAGCAAAATTTATATAAAATTGATCAATCATGTCAGTAGCTATTTTTGACAATTTTCGAAACAAAGGTGAAATTTTCCATTTAAAAATTTGGTAAAATTCAATTATATTTTTGAAAAGTTATTTTAGGAAAATTAAAAAATTTAAAGTTTTCTTAATGTAATTGGAAACAAACATTACTTAATATTTTAGCAGGAAAAAATAGTTGGAAATAAGAGAAGCATGTTTAACTGGTGATTTGTGTTGGAAATGTGAATTGACGTTTACGTCAATATATGGACAACTAACGACTGGGCACAGACGAAAGGACAGAAGTGACAGTATTTTTCGAATTTTAAGTGAACCAGCTTATAAGGCAATTCTTAAAAATTAAATACTTTCAAAAGTCTAATATTTGATTGATTTTTAGGTACTTTTTTTTTTTGTTTTTTTTTAACGAAGATAGATCCAAAGCCTGCACTGTTTCTGTCCCTAAAATTAAATTTTAAAAAAGAAAGAAACAACTAATAATTGCAGTATATCTCTCACTGAAAAAGAAAAAAAGATGTTTATTTTATAAAAAAATGAAAAGACAATATTTAGTAAAATATGTAAAAAAAGAAAATTAAAAAGTTTGAAAATGCGACGATGATGATCTGTCATTCAGAGAATTTGATACAGTGTAACCCGGAATAAAAGAGAGTTGTCGGGACCGGAGAAGAAGTCTCTTATATCCGGGTTTCTCTTATATCCGGGTTGGTCTATTTTGTTTAGGTAAGTATGGGAACACTTTGGGACCAGAGAAAATCTCTCTTATATCCGGGTTTCTCTTATATCCGGGTTACACTGTATGTGCTCTAGCCAGAAAAAAGCAACGTAATTTAGGAGGTCGAATCCTTGTTATCAGAAGAAACAACTCTTAAAACACGTGACATTATTTCTGAATTGTGCCCTCGTAGTTTTGCCGGAAACGTTTTTAATGCATATTTTGGCATATTAAAAGATTATTTTAAAAATACTAACGTTTACTTTAAGCTTTCAAATTTAAGATCTGTACAAATACATCTTTTTAATAAGAGCATTTTCAAAAAGACACATATTTAAACTTAATTTTAAAATATCTAACAACTTTATCACATTTTATATTCAAAATTGAAAAAAAAAGGAAGAAAACAATTCTTGTAAAAATTCATTTTTCATCGGAAAAATATTTTGGCTTCAGACAATAATGTCCTTAATATATATTATTCATAAAAAAACATTACAAGCTTTTCGAATTAAATAATGGCTTAGTTTTATTGGGTTTTGTATTTTACAATTCAGAGCCAAATTTTGTGTAGAAATGCTTATCGATTTACAAAAAATCGATGATTTATATTCTTCAAAATCTTCTGAATTTAATTAAAATAATCACAAAAATACACATTTTCGAATTTTCATAAAATTAAGTAAGTGGGGGAGGTGGGTAACAAATGTAAAAAACCATTTACCTGACTTTCTAAAAAACAAAGATTTCTAAAATAATTTCATTCATTTTTTTAATAAGATCTGAAAGTTTCATTAAAATCACACAATTATTTGATTTTTGCAAGAATTTCCAAATTAGGGGGCTCTTCAACTGAAAAAGCGTTAAGAAAAACTCATTGTTAACTATTATTACATGCCTGCTGACCTAAAAAAAGCAACAAGCCTCTCCCCCCCACAAAAAAAATAAGATTTTTAACCAAAATTTCGAAATGATTAAAAATTTTAAAAAAGTAATTAAAAATACTTTTGTCTTTCCTCTTAATATTAATATAAACATTTTGACGATAAAACTTTGTTTTTATTGAGTTTGGGACCTTTTTTCATCATGCCTTGTTGTTTTTTCGGTGAATTATTGAACATAGCTGATGATAAAAAATGTGCGAAAATAAGATTTTACTCTTCTTTATGTAAGTTAAATAACTTAAATAACTTATAATTTTTTTTAATGGTAATATTGTTTATTGATAATTATCTTGTTTAAAATGCATCTTCTAAAAAAGAGAACTACAAGTAGATCGACGGAGCGTAATGGAAAGAAAATTTCAAGTTAAAATTTTTAAATGTCAGACATTTGTTATTCTTCCTGTGTATCTGATTCCTTTATTATTATTTTTTTAGCGTTTATTATTGTCGTATGACATGTGCATATGATTTGGTCACTAAGAGAATTTTTGTGAAAACCTCTGTTGGGAAATATGAATGTAACTTGTAAGTCAATGAGAAGAGAGAACTTGTAGCTCAACAAGAATAAAACAAAATAAAATATCCGAGAAGAAATAATATAAAAGTTCAGAATTTGGATCAAGCGGGTTGAGAAATATTGACCTCACGACGGTTGAGCCGAAACACAGATTGAATCAAACGGGACATGTGAAGGCTCTGTCGTTTAGTGTTTAAAGTACACGAAGCCTAAGATGGGATGATAATGCTTTTTTTTTATTTATTTTCTTTGTAAAGTTAGTTAGCCATAATCATTGATGCATTTGTTTGACAGTTGTCAGTTCAGTTACACTTTTCATTCGTACAGCAGACACCATAAAGCTATAATCATTGTATGAAATCATAACTCATAAATACAATGTAGAAATAATAAAGAGTTTTATGTTTCAATGTTCATTTGCAATGAATAACATATTTACAAGTTTAAGAATCAAAAGGATTTGTGTTAGAATCAAAAGAGTTAGTGTTGAATTCTTTACATTACAATCTAAATATGATAAAATGTTTCTTAGGCCAAATTCAAATTATTAAAATTGATATTTTTATATTTTGTTCTTACGTTTGCCGTTGGAATTTTAGTGAAATGATAATATATGTGATGGATTTGATTTTACTCAAGTATTGCAATGTCCAGAGATAAATGGGTAACTTAATTAGATAAATATATAATTGTCGAATTTCTTTGAAAATTTTGCACATCATTGTAGATAAGCTGGTATTAGCTCTGTTGCGTCTCTGAATGGATGGACTTGACATGAGCGAATCCATTTTGATGATTTTCCAGTGTCTACCTATCAGCTGGTTCGACTGTATTTTCAGAGTGACCTCCTGCTGCACACGTTTAAAGAATGAAGAATTTCGTGTGATTTGGCGGTCATCATGAACCTGCAGTCACCATATTCTCCTTTCTTTGGATGACCGTGCATGGCTTCAGATTGAAGGGCAGGGAGAACTTCTTGTTGTGGCTCGGTTCTTTAACAACAAGATGCCGCCTGGTAGAAATAGCGATGTTTGGATACAGCGCCTCTGATCTGAATTTGTCTTCATCTTGCCTTTGCTGATGGTGTCATTTGCAGTGATGCGGAATGGGCGAGAACTGAAATTTTGGGATGGGCAAAATATCGTAAACCGACCTTCCTGTGTAGGCTTCGAAAAGATGCACCCTAGTTGTACTGTGTGGTATGGCCCTCTACTAGCAGAAAAAAATTGTGTAACTGCGTTTACCGGTTCTGGCTTTCCAGTCGTAAGGATAAATTTGTTTATTATCTCCATGAAGCGTTCGACCTCATCATTTTCTTCAGGCCGACTGAATGGTAAAGACCCTGAATAATTCATGACTTTGAAAGGGAGGCCCATTATCTGTCTAGAGGATTAGTGTCGGCAAGCCTTCCTGACAAATATAAAGTTTTTACGAGGTGTTGACGGGATTATCTCGACTTCAGGAAAACGCCTGTATTCATCAATGGCATGAAAGATCCTGAGAAGTCTAGCGTAATTTCAGTTCATGAAGCAGAGGGTAACGGTATCGAGCATAACGCTTCATGCTGAACTGGACGCCTCACATCGAATACAAGCTCGAACTATCTTGGTGAGTGTAGTGTGTGATGTCAGTTATCCTCTTCTGTAGCACTGATGGAACTACCAAACACTGATCACGAAGAACAACACTGTCTGCGATAGATAGCTCATGCTTGAATTAGACGAAACTGGATAAGTCTGAATCTTGCCGCCAAGAAGACTGGATTGTTCACATCAGGGGATTTTTTC